AGTGACTATTATGGATAATAAGGAATTTTAGTAGGGTCCTCTTGTATTCCTATTATGCCACTATTACAGAATGGTATACTAAAAATATAAGAGGACCCTAATATAATCCCTATTATCCCTTATAGTCACGATTACTGGGTGGGGGGGTCCACCTAACATATACCCCATATTCTATCTACTTGCCGGGGACTGTGAATGAATGACAAGCGCAACAAGTTTGTACGCAAACCAACAGTAGCGGTCAATAGAAGTAGGCAGCGGCAACAGCTGCAGTAGCAACAGAAGAAGAAGGCAGCGCATAAGAGAAAGATGTTGCCATCAACTTCTTGTTGGTGATTAGTAGGGCATGGAGGAATGGATCACAGTAGTAGTCCCAATTCTAGCCCGGTTCCAAACCCCGGAGTAAACTCCTTTCGCTGCAACCACTAGATAGTAGAGTTGTGCAGGATTCCTTTCATCAGCAGTAGACTCACCCGACTGAACTCTGAACCCCAGACAGCTGGGTTGCTGTTGAGGATTTAACTCGAGTTACCCTATTACGGGTATATAGTAAATCACACGGCTTCCTCATTATAGCAACAGGCCAGCAGTAGTATATTGGGTGCTTCCACAGTCTTTCCCATTATCCCTAAACTGCCTTATATTACCCTAGATCACCCTATATAGCCTTTTTTTACATTGTATTAAACCCTATAAACCCTATTTTAGCCCAAGGAGCGTTGCAGTCGGCATGCAGCTTGCCGCGTACTTCACGCGGCGGTGAGCTTGACCAGCGATTTCCTGCCGTACCGGCCTCAGACGCCCGGGTTTAGGGTTTAGGGCTGGGATATTTGGATTTCCCAAGATGAAGGGCGTAGGTTTTACGGCATATAGAGGTTATTTCAGGGATAATGGAAAAGCAAATGGCAACTACTATTTGGGGTTGAGGGTAATTATAGGGCTTCCCAAAATTAGGTGTATTTTATAGGGGCTATATAATGTCAATCTTGATAATCATGGAGAATCACATGGAAGAGAAAGTTGAACATGAAATTGAGACTAAATAACTGCTATATCATTGGGGCTATCTAGTGATTACTATTGGGATCCATAGGCAATGATTGTACACGAAATGGAAAGGAACATGGAAATGATTCGGAGATTGGGGGAATGCAGGGGCTCATAGCGGAGATGGTCGTGCTGGTTGCTACTAGGGAATGGAGAAGCATGGTATCTCCCATATCACCCTAAGGGTAGTAATTTGAACCCCCCCCCCCCTCGCGTCCCGATTTCTGACATTTCCCCCCCATATATGGCTGCTTGCCGGAAAATTTACAAATAGGGGTGGGGGGTGTGTAACGTAGAGGGAGAGTTGTTTCGATTTCCGTAAGGTACAGCTCATAGTGCGCAACGATGATTGCTATGTAGAGCGTGACAAGAATTTGAACTGATGTGCGGGAATGACGTCGGGGCCGGGGTTATGGTTTAGGGTTCAGGGTTGGGTCGGGGCCGGGGTTAGGAGTGCGCTTTGCCGAGCCTACTCCCTGACCCCTCAAACCCAACGGCCAAGCTCGAACAACATTTAGCTTCTGAGCCGTGCACCCTTCAAGCCCCATAGTCGTAGCATGATAATATGTATTCGTAGTAGTAATAATACTAAAGATCGTAGATATAATTAACAATAACGATGACGGCAAAACGTAGTAATAATCATGATGACCACTCAGGTTTGCTGCAGTCTTCTTCCTCTGGCACCTTGGTCGTTTCCAAACGGGATGAGCTTGTCGATTGAGCATGATAGTTCTATGAGCATGAGGGGGTATTATACTGTAGTTGCGGAAATGTGAGCCGCGTATGTATGTGAGGAGCTCTGTGCACATACCTGACATCCTACTTGGTATGGTTGTGTAGTACATGCAGGGTTGAGCGTGACGTTTTCCATCAACAATTACAGGTCTGCACTAGCCTAAGCCGTGCAACGCACCCTCCCTGATAATGAATGTTCCCCTACGATATAATGGTACTACATTGGGGGAAGGGGGGTTATACCAAAAACCCTTCAAGGTCTTAAGCCTTGTACCAAGGCGGCAGGGGGTTAGGTGAGGGAGTGCTGTGTAGCATTTACGGTTTGAAGTGTTTTTTTCAATCAGGAAGCTTGCCCCGATACCCGGCACCACCACATAGTTCTGATACGCCCCTGCGCCAAACAAAAATTCCGCCATCTTTGTAACAGCTGTGGAAGATCTACTCAACTCCCTCCAATCTCCAAGCCGAAAACACAAAACCCCGCACCTGGGCTTAGGGTAAATCGGTAAATCCCTTAAGAACATAAGCACAAAAGACTAAAGCCATTAGCTCCAAATCCCCACATGTTGGAACCTGAATCCTAATAAGAGGATTTTTGTAGCCCCGGCCTCCAAAGTGTTGACCCCATGATTGTCACGCAGTTAGAGTATAGTTTTCTTTCGGGGTCACTTTCAAAGCCCTCTTACTGTAAAGCTTCTCATACCTAACGGGTCTATACTTACCCAAAACTTGCATAAGAACTGCTATATATTGCCCAAACCCCAAGGAAGTATTTATTGGATACTGGTATTTTCTGGGTTCTTTTAAGGTCCCAACCGTAGGCCTCCAAGATCAGCCCCTGCCTGTTTCCTGGGTTTAACTATGGGCCCTTAATCGGGCTTGTAGGCTTATGTGAGATATTTAGTCGGTACATGAAGAACTGCAAATTATTGAACCATATTACGGGCCCCTAGTCCCCTGATGTGGGCACCTTTACTTCCCACCCTGCCTGCTTAGGCCGTTCCCACCCATTACTAGGTGGTCAGACACTGAAGAAACACGTCAGCCTTTACACCCGTACTGGGTAAGACAATGGGAGGAGCCTATAGAGCATGGATGCATAGAGCCCCTCCGGGCTCCTCCCGTACATCGGGAGGTACAGCTCTGCCTCCGCCTCCAGCCATTTCACGAGGCCAAAATGCTACTTTGATTTTCTGCAGGCCCGCAAGCCTGCTGGAGGCCTGCGGCCACTGCAGGCTCCTGGAGGCCACTGAGGCCCTGGGGTCTTGGAGGCGCCTGGAGTGAAGCAAAACTCTGAAAGCTTTTCTGGCGCCTGAGGCCCCTGAAGAACCTGGGAGTCCCCTGCAAACCCCGCCTGCAGCGGGCCCGTCACGATGTTGACTTGAAATCAGAAGCGTGAAGACGATCTTTTGGAGCTGGGATTTGAGGGCGTAGGTTTTAAACCCTAACAGGAAATAATTTGGGTGGTAGCCTGTGATGTCTCACAGTGGGTGGGGGTTCTGAAGAAAGCCCAGCTTTGATGGCTTCCTGGGCAACATCCACGAGGTTCGCTGGGCGACAGATCCCTGGAAGTGGGGTGGCGCCATCGGCGCATGGATACTCAGCCCTGCGCAGGTAGACGCCCTAAACCCCAAAGCCTTCACCCCAAACCCCAAACCCTAAACCTTGAATCAGAACAAGGTTGGCTTCGCTAGGAATGGTCATTGCGGCCTCTCTGGCGGCAGCCTCAATCTTGTAGGTGGGGGGTTCTCAGAACGGTTTAGGGTTCCGTTCAGGGCCGAGGGCTTAGGGCCTAGGATTGGGGGTTGAGGGGATTTAGAGTTCAGGGTTGAGGGGATTTAGAGTTGTGGGTCTAGGACCTAGGATTTAGGGTGGAGGGCTGACAGTTGGACAGGTGAGGGCTTAGGCATTCGGACTTGATGTTGGGGGTTTAGGACTCTAGCGTTTCCTAAGCCTTATCGGGGGGATTCTCAAAATTCCTGGGCTGATGTATCTGTTGAGCGCATGCGGGATTGCACAACATCGCACGAGATCGCATGCTGCGGACGGGTCTTGGCCCAGACATGCCCAGACCAGTCTAAGAGAAATTCGGCTAAAGGAGTGTATCTTGAGTAGTTTCCAAAATTAGGGTCCAGTCTTGGCACCAATAAGGAATTAGGTGCCGGAATAAAATCTATAACCAGAAGGTGCCCATGATTTTGAGAACAACCCNNTATGGTAGGCTGTCAAAATTATGGTTCCCTTGGGTTCCCTCAGAGAATACCCCCCCCGAATACTTAAGGTACCTAGAAAGCGGACCATAATTGTGACAACCCCGCCCCACATGAGAACACTTGGCTTGTAGCGGGAACTCCTTCTACTACTTGGAGGGTCAGGG